TTTGCAGGAGACAGCACCTTTGCATTTTAAAGACCAGCATGGTCTTTCTGCCAGGGCTGAGCACTCAGCAGCAGCATTCCTTGTGCTTTCTGCTGCTCTGCTATTTTTTTTTTTTAATTTGTCTGACTTTATCTTATTTTGTTCCCAAAGTTCTTGAGAGTCGATCAAGATAAAGACAGAGACTGCAGCTTGGACTGTGCGGGCTCTCCTCAAAAGCCTCTCTGCGCATCGGACGGAAGGACCTTCCTGTCCCGCTGCGAATTCCAGCGGGCCAAGTGCAAAGACCCTCGCTTGGAAATCGCTTACCGAGGAAACTGCAAAGGTGAGTGCCTGCTGGGTTATCCGTGCACTATGGGTGGGACAGAAGTCCTGCGCTTCTGGCTTATTTTCATATGGCGGGATGAAGAGCAATCACTATGAATTTCAAAGCATTCATGTAGAAATTATTTAATTCCTCAAAGTGCTTTGTGACATGGTGAAGCAAACATGTGCCCCTATGTCCCAACTTTCTCCAGGGTCCCCTAAAGTCTTTCTGACTGCAGTTTCCAGTTTCCATTTCTGTCTTCGTATTGTCTGTGATGTTTGCAGTGATGTTTCTGGTGCAAAGCTTCCTTTGGGATTTTCAATTATTTTTTTTTTTAATTAGGCATCAAATTTAGAGGTAACCCTCGTGCTTAGAGTACACAAGGAAAGGCTTCCCACACAAGCGGTTTGGCTTGGTGAAAGACGCTGGTGTTTCAAACACAAACAGAATCACTTTGCAAAAGATTTACCTTATTCTCTGGGAAGCGCACCGCAGAGGCTAGAGCTGCCTTTGAGATGGTTTTCTGCCTCAGCTAGCTTTTTGCTTAATGACCCTGTTAGCTGAGTGACATGCCGAGCACACTAACTGCTAGCAGAGCCCAAGAGCTCAGCAGTGACTGGCCGGGTTGGGGTCCCATGGGCTCCTCTTTCCATGGTGTTGTGTACCCCAGCCCTGCACAGACCTGGGTTATTCTTGCACAGAGCCAAGAGCCAGTTTTGCACACTCTTGACCCCTGAGAGCACTCCCTGTTGACACGACCAAGGAGTGTCGAGGTGTACAGAATGGGCCTCCCACAGGAATGCAGCTGGAGCACCCCTGCAGCCTGGTCTTTGCTCTGTGACAAACCCTGTCCCATGTCTGTGTCTGTACTCTGCGTGGCATCTGCAGATGCCTGATTGGAGCCTAAAATTCTTCCTAGCAGTCGTGTGTCATCGCCTTGCTAGTGACCAGTGGCTACCCATGAGCACAGACTCTTCCTACTGCCTCAGTGGTTTGTTCACAGTCAGCACCTTTCGGGGTGCACAGCATTTAATGGGGGCAGGATGGCCGGGGCCTGAGGGGAGCACAGGCAGTAGAACCTCTGGGGAGAGTCCCAGGAAGACCGCTCCACACTGGAGGGTCTAGGGGAGCATGCAGGTGGATTGTGATTGTGTGCAGAGCTGCCCTGGTGAAAGCCTCCTCACACGAAGGCATGCTAGCCTCTCCCAGATCCCAGCTGGAGCCCCATCTGATGGTCCCAAGAGCAAGGGCTAGGAAAGCAGGTCACCTGGGCTGCAGAGGGGGGCTGTGGGCTCCTGTTGTCCGTTTCCTTCTTCTGAGAAATAGCAGCTGTAAGAAACTGTGGGAAGCAGGCAAGGGGTGCCCTAGACTTTGAGGAAGGAGTTCAGGCATGAATTGCGAAGACCCTGGGGCCTCCTGGCTCTGAGAACACAGCTCACATCGGCCTCTCCTGTCCACCTCCATGCCCTGGCCTTGGACTTCCGATCTCTGTCCAGTTACAGCAAGATTAAAGTTGCATTCCTTTTGGACAGGGAGGGTAAATTTGAATTAAAGACTCTTGTCCTTTGAGGGAGTCTCCTTGTTACTTTATTCAAATTTGCATGTAGCCTAGTTTCTCTGGCAAATTCCCTTGGTTAGAATTCTATTCGCTTCACTGTAGGTAGACCATAAACCTGTGACCCCTACAAAAAGACAGGGAGGAATTAAGTAGGCATGACCTTTACTCCATGAAGTGGGTGTGGCTTAAACCAGAGGGATTATAAGAACAAACCAGAGACACAGCAGGTTACTAGTTGCATTTAACCCAGGGCAGCAGGGTTATAGACAATGTGTTAGGCAAGTTTGGCCCTGCAAACACAGCTGGGCATCTCACACCTCTGGAGCTGTCGATTTGGGGTGCACAGCCTTCGTATGCTGTGAGTCAGCGTGGGCTGTGTGGGTCACCCTGGGAAAGGCTTCAGGCCCAAGCTGGGGTCGAGTTGGCCGGGGTCCTGGCTCATGAAGGGAAGAAGGTCTTATTTTGGGGTCAACCCCTTCCTGTGGACTGCATACACAGGTGCTTCCCTCCAGATCTCTGATGCATTAACGCCCACCATCCACCCTCGTGCAGAATGGCTGCAGGGGTGACCCTGACTTGTGGGTGGGACCTGGCTCGGCTGGCAGCAAGAACTGGACTAAGCCCACCCTCCAGCCCAAGTGCATAGTCCCACGGAGTCTACAGATGACCCAGGTCGGAACGTGCCTCCTTGTCGTTTAAAGAGGCAGCGGCTAAGAGTCCTCCCCCTCTCTCCATGTGACACAAGACTGCTCGCTTACTCCACCTATTCCTGGTGCTAAACTTGGCAGCGTCCTGTTGTGTTCCCCCAGCCGAGGGGCCACTGCTGCTGACTTCAGTATTTTGAGGGTATTTCCACATATTTGGTGGGTGAGAGTTCTGTGGGCCTGTGTCTTTTGGATGTACTGGTTTGGAAACAACAATTAAAATATTTTAGTCCACATTTAATTAAATGGGATTAAAATGTTTCATGCATTTCATATTATGATCTAACCATTGACCTTGAGGAGAATTGCAGTGGTTAAAACTGATGGATTTTTCTCATATTTTCTTAGAAATTTGTGGGGTTTGTGTTTTCTGAACTCAGCAAACACATTAATAATTTTTCTTTTGATCTGAAAACAGTGGGCTTGTCTTTCTTTTTAACGAAACCTCTGGCATTGACTAAAAGAGCCAGAAAAAAATGTTACACATCAGGAGACCTTGGAACTATTTTCATATTTCTAGAAACAACATTCATAGCAAAAGCAACTTCCTGGGACGTTCCTGATCTCAAGAGCTCTGCACTGGGCCCATCTGGGTGGCTTCACATGTAGCATGCTTCCTGGCCTAGTCATTGTCCTCGGCTGTACACTGCCCCTTAGCAGATGATATGGCTGGGGTGGCCAGGGTGGGCTCTGCAGGCCAGCCAGCTCCTGGCACAGGAATGTCCCTAAGGCAGGGTGCCTACACGACCACTGCCAGCCTCCCGTGTGAAAGGACCGTTGTCACAGACCTCTAGCTCCTTCCCCAGGAAAACCCTCAGGGGCACAGAAGTGCTGTTCACAGGGTCATTGCTGTCACAGAGAGCACTGGCCTCTGGGGTCGTCGCCCACTTCCGGCTTGAGGACCCAGAGCCATGGTGTGATGGAAGACAATTCACTCTTCGGTGAATTGTCTGCACCTGTCTCTTGTCTCTAGAACAAGGGGAGGGATCAGACCAGCCCTGAGGATCCTGCCGGTTTGAAGGAAGCCAGACAAAAAGGCTATTCTGTGATGCTGGGTATAAATTGTCCAGTCTGAAGTTCACAAAGTGGAGACGTAGATCTAGGAGTTGGGGGTGGGAGGGAGTCGTCCTCACTGGATGAGAGGCTTGCTCCAGAGTGACCGATGTCCTGCGGGAGGCGGTGAGTGGATGGCGCGGGTGTGGTGGCGTGCTGCTCAGAGTACACTGACTCCACGAGTGGACACTTCAGCGTGGTTAGAGTGACAGCTTTTACCTTCTTCGCTGTTGTACCATAGTCAGCATCGCCTTGTTTGTGTCTTGAGGATTTAGAGCCAACCATGAGGAAGAAGGCATCCAGAGTAAAATCCCCCAAAGGTCCTGAGCACAGGGAACTGCTTAATTTTTAATTTAATAAAATAAGCACAAAGAATAGAAACATAACAATATAATGTATTACCTATAAATATTTAAGAAGGGAGTGCTGGACATTTCTACTCTATTCTTTAAAATGTGATTGAAAATCTCAAAGGTTTAGAAAAATAGTGTTGAGATTGGGTATGCCACTTGGATTCCTTTGGTCTTGGGTGTGCATATGTTGGGCACCTAATTACTTACAGAGGCAGCCAAAGCCCAGGAGAGCTGCTGAGGGTCTTGCCTGTGGAGTCTCATCTGACAGCTCTTGCCCAGCCTCGGAAGCAGCAGGCCCTCGGCCCGATGTAACGCTAAATATCTGCAACAAGAAATGACAGAGAGGTGGCCTGAGCTAACCTGGGTTTCTCGCAAGGTAACGACAGGCTTTTTCCGAAGGGTGATTCACAGACCCTGTAATTTCAAGCTCCTGTTTTCATTTCTCCTATAACGAGTCAGCAATATACTGGACGTGAACCTGGAATTTAATATCCTGTTGAACACATGAGCTGCAGGTTTGAGAATGTCCTACTCAGTGGCAAATGCGAAGTCTTTAAAAGAAGCCTGAGCCAGGAATGGAGCCCACAAGTTGTTTGGGAAATTTATGCTCTTTTGGCATATCTGTGATAGCTCAAATGTGAGGACTAATTCCTGGCTCTGTCTCTCCCCGGGCTGAGACCTCGCAAACGGCAGCTCCAACCACTTTTCCTTTTAGACACTCAAACCACAGGGTGGACTAAACCCGAGGTGAGCTCAGCACGCTTCTGAATTCTAAGTGAGCACAGACTGCACGGAAACCACGAGCGCTGCTGAGTGCTGGCCGCCCGCCCGCCCAAGGCGGGATGGAATCAGGGTCCGAGCCACTCAGAAGTGGCGACCCCGGGTGGTCATAACCCGGGCTGTAGCTGCGTGAGGCTAGGGGTCTCCTGGCCAACGGCAGGAGTGAGGCTGAGCGGTGCAGCCTATCTGGGCCCGGGGAGGGCCCAGCAGGGTAGCAAGAAGTTGCCCTCTGAAGACCGGGCACAGGTAGCAGGCAGAGACCTGGACAGCAGTCACCTGACCGTGAAGCACGCAGAGCATCGGAGGGCTGCTCCTGGAGGAGCTGGGCTGCAGCAGCGGAGGGGCAGGGAGTGGAGCCCCGACGGCCGAGAGCGCAGCCCTGGGCCAGGTCGCACCTCCGCGCCACTTTGCGCCCTTGCTGTTCAGGGAGCCCCGTACCTGTACCTGTGACTCTCGGATGTTGCATGTGGCGTGAGCCCAGCTGCGATCGCACAGAAGGGGGGCAGCTTCCCTCTGGGTATCTCTGACTCCCGATTTCCCGTGGAGCTTGACACCTTCTGGCTTTGCACAGTGGGGTACATCCCCACAGCTCTGTGCTCTGAGCTGAACACAGGACCCTCTGGCCAGAGCAGGAATCCTGTGAAAGGCAGCAGCCCCTCTGGTCTGCCGATTACCCGGTTTTCCAAGTGAAGTGGGAAGAGGTGTGAGCTTTCTGTGTGCTTCAGTGTTTCAGGCACCTAAGGTACAAAACAGAAGTGTTGTGGTCTGTACTCTAAGTGCTCTTGGCTCTGAGACTGACTGGGCATGAGCCCCCTCCTCCACACCAGGTATCCCCACACCGCTTCCCTGCTCAGCTCCACGTGGTCCGAATTTACTTCCACTCCCGGCCCTGGCCTGCTGCGTTTGGGCATAGTTCTGGGCAGCTGCTGGACGTCCCAGGGCTGTGGCCTCCTCCCTGCTTGCTTCCCACAGATCCCGGGAGAGCTTCTCTGAGAGTCGGTCTCCCTCTCACTCATGTCTGGGAGCCTCCCACTCTTCTGAGTGCACACAGATAGGAGGTGCCAGCTCTGCTGAGGAAACCTGCCAACGTGGGCTGCTTCTTGTCTGTGGCCCTCATGGCATGACTTTCTGTCCCGGTCTCCCTGTAGATGTGTCCAGGTGTGTGGCCGAGAGGAAGTACACCCAGGAACAGGCCCGGAAGGAGCTGCAGCAGGTGTTCATCCCGGAATGCAACGAGGACGGCACCTACAGCCAGGTGACTGCGGGGCCCCTGGACTGTGCGTCCGGGGGATGTGGACCTCCCAGGCGAAATCGGCCTGTGCTGCGGAAGGGAGGTCCCAGTGAAGTGGATGTGTGAATGGGTGCTGCCGTGAACTTGCTCAGGCAGCGCGCTTACTAGGCTTAGCGGATCATGCCGACTGGATTGGCGCTGAGAATTTAATTTTGGTGTAATTTCCACTGTGGGGAGCTTGTGCCAAGCGGCATAGTGTGAGGGTAGCACGAGTCCTGGTTTCGCCCAGCCCATTTGGATCAGGGTTGGATGTGGGTCAAACCAGGCTGCGGTATGCCTGTGGTCCAGTCGTTAGTCAAAGGCAGTGTCCCTGCAGGGGAGCGGCAATGCTGTTATTCTTCATGGGGTCACCCCGAACGTGCTCTGTTGGTGTGCTTTGGGAGGAATGACAAGCGCGATTCCCTTCAGGTCAGTGAGGTGGGCCTCAGTCCTGCAACAGTCATATGGCCTTTGAGAGATGAAGACATGAAGAAAGAGCCCTGGGGACCCGAGGGGCAGCCCCTCTATTGTGGTTGCCTTGGGAAGGCCAAGAGATCCTTGGGGAGGCCAGAGGGTGCTACATGCAGGTACCCCGCTGGCCTCTAGAGCCCTGTCTCCTCTCCTGGACCTGCCAGGGTGGCACCAGTGAATGTGCTGGCTCCCGCAGGGCTCAGGCTCTTGGTGGGCAGTGGCGGTCAGCCAGGCCCTGGCAGCACAGCTTGCCCCTTTGTCTCCTCAGGGCCATGATTAAAGGCAGCACCGTCTCCCTCAGGTACCCCCAGGCTCCAGAGAGCCTCCATGTCCAGGCCTCTTGGGAAGTGACGCCACATGGGCAGGTGGCCTTGTGGAGGCCAGGGGCATGCTGGTGTCAGGGGACTCACCCATGTCCTCTCTTGGCAGGTGCAGTGTCACAGCTACACGGGGTACTGCTGGTGCGTCACGCCCAACGGGAGGCCGGTGAGCGGCACTGCTGTGGCCCACAAGACGCCCCGCTGCCCGGGTAGGTCAGGTCCGAGGCAGCTCTGTGGAGCCTTGTTTGTTGTTTTTGGACATCATCAGACCTGTGTGCGCTCGTGATTCCGGGGGAATTCAGATTGAATGAAACTGAGTAATGTGGGAATGAGACAGGATCAGGAGGCAGAGCCGCGAGTAGTGTTGAAGTCTTTTCTGAGGAAGAAGAGCAAGACTCATGTGCATCACATATGCACTTGTAATGTAGAGAAGAGCTCAGCAAAAGGAGGGAGCAAAACATACACACGCACATAAGTACATACACGTACACACATGTATGCACATGTCTATGCGGGAGGCAGAGGAGAACTCACTAAAGGGGGACACCCCAGCTCAACTCCTGGAAGACTACGGTGACTCAGGAATCTCTAATTTTTAAAACAATCACAAAGACTGTAGTCACCAGTGGAAACAACCCAGTGTTTTCTTTGGCCAAAGAAAGCGAAATTTTCTGGGTTTGTATATATATTTTTTCAAAGAGAAAGTAGATTATTCTTCACAGGTCAGTTTCCAGAGGGTTTATTTATGTTATTTTATTACTCATAACAGGGTGTGATGTACTGAAAATAATAAAACTGGCAGGATAATAATCTATAAAATGGTCTTTTTCCATTAATATTCTACCAAAAGGGCCATAAATGATTCTGATCCTTTTTATTTGAAAATGGTCTGCAATCTCTGCAGTCTGGGCTTGAGTCATTTGTGGCGAGACCTATAGACCTGTGAAGAAATGTCATAATCTAATTATCAAAATTCCTAGATTAAACATATGAAAATTGGCAAGATACATCATTATATAACAAAATGAAGTACAAAACATTGTCTCTAGTTATTCATATAAAGGATTGAAATGTGCATTTAGAGTTCACTCGTAGACTCTTTAGGGGGTGGGCCCCTTCTAATGGGCTGTTCTGTTCCTTACTTGGACACCTGCAGGGCAGCCAGGGAGCCAGGCCTGGGTTAGAACTCCTGACCTCAGAGGACCCCAGAAGCAGGACAGCACCCGTAATTAGCAGTGACACCAACCGCGATATCCAAAGCAGCTGGTTTTCCCTTAGAAGGCACGTGGTGTACGTTCTTTGGAATTAAAATGCATCGATTTTTTAAAACACTTTTGCCACCCAAATTCTTTTCAAGAAGTGCTGAAAAAACATGTTCAGTCAGCTGATATTTAGATTTAATGGTTCTTATTCCAAGCTTATGGAGGACAAGGAAGAGGAAAAGAAGTTAGTCCTCCTGGCCTCATCCCCGGGGTGAGCCCCTTCTGGGAAAGGCCTGGCCACGGGCTCCTTCCTTCCACAGCCATGTCCGATGTGAGGCCTCGTGGGGAGGCCTGCAATTCCCCAAAGGAGGAGCAGCAGGAGCCACACTCCTGCAGTCTTAGGGATGCTGCCCGAAAGGGTAGGCAGAGCTTGGAAGGCCCTTCTCAGAGAACCGCCGCACGTAACAGCCAACGAGTGCTGTTTCGGAAATCGAGTCACCGGCCCGCTCACTCACACCATTTTTCTGCTCTGGTGTCTATAACATCTGATTGCTTAGAAATGCTCCATTTTTGCTGTTCCCACGCATTGTTCGTGGTCCAAGAAATGGTTTAGAGAGGAGAAAGTATTGTCTTTGTGTTTGCCATTCAGTGCATGGGACGTGCAAAGTTGGCTCCGATTAGAAGGCCATGTGGCTGGACAGGCCCTCACACAGGTCGTGTGTGCCTGAGGTAGGCGCTGCTGTCGCACACACACAGCTGGTGCCTTTCTGTACCTGGCTCTGGGCAGCACCACTGACGTGCTTGCTCCGGGATTTCCACAGAGCTACCGGACAGGTCTGTAATCCTGCTGTGTTCCACACCCATGTTCTGTGAACAGGTGAGTGACCGAGTGTGGCGCTGACCCTTCTGGAAGCTGTACAACTGTGGGGATGTTCAGAGGAGGTGGCAGCTCCGGAGGAATCGTGGGGGACCGAGTCCACCTCCCTCCCTTCACGCCCACTCCTCAAGTGCTCTTAATCAATGCCCGCCTTATGGAATTCAGCTTTTCCCACTTATTGGTCCTGTCCTCTAAAACACTGCAGAGAAGCAGTTGTCAGATGCCAGTTTGCATGACATTATGAGCAACACAGGGGTCCCAGTGGCCCGTGTGTTATCTACAAACCAGGGCGCCCCTGGATGCCTCCTCAGCCCTTCACAGAGCAGTCAGCTGGTACACTGCAGGGCTGACATGCACTGGCTACCACCCGGAGAAGCGGGGTTGTAGCGCTGCAACCCACTAACACACCCGAGTGGGACTGTAGTGCCTGTGTCTCGCTCCTGGGCGGCTTGGAACTGCCAGTGGGATGGGCATGACTGTCCCATTGGCAGGATGGGCCAGCACCATGCAGAAGTATAGGCTGCCAGGTGGGACAGTCACGCATGTGCCGCTGATGGTTCAAGCCAGCTGGAAGCTGTTAAAGCTGGGTAAACTTTGGTACTGAGGTGCTGAGGTGCTGTGGTGTTTGGGCTGCTGGGGTGCTGGGGTGCTGGGATACTGAGGTGCTGGGGTACTGAGGTACTAGAGTGCTGGGGTGCTGGGGTACTGAGGTGCTGGGGTACTGAGGTGCTGGAGTGCTGGGGTGCTGGGGTGCTGGGATACTGAGGTGCTGGGGTGCTGG